TCGCGCCCAAAGGGCTGGTGGGACTTAAAGGGGGGGTCGCTTCACTGGGCCTTGACACGCCCAGCCGTCCTGTGCTCAAGGGAGCATTGCAAGCACGTACTTCAGAGCGGCTCGTGCTTGCGAGCCAATCTGGGATCTCACGACCGCCCTTGCGCGATGGCACCGCCTGCCGGCGCCCGCGGCTCGGCGCCCGCTCGCAGCGCCAAGGGGCGCGTGGGCAGCGGCAGCCCGGCGCTGGGGCGCGGGGCCACCCCGCCATGGCACGCCGGGGGCGGCGGCGGCGGCCCGCGGGGCGGCGGCGGCGGTGGAGGCTGGCAGCGGCCGGTCGGCGAGCTGCTACCCGGGCCTCGCTTCCCGCTGTGGGGGTGCCCGCGCGGGGAGGCGCACAACTGGGCGAACCGCGCCGCCCGCCGTGTCTCTGGGCCAAAGCGTCGCGGCAGGCGGAAGCGCACTCATTGAATTGCGACGTCGAGCTGGGGCTTCCACCGATCGCAGTGGCTGAGCCCCGCCAGGCAGCGGAGACCTACCTTCCCTGCTGGCACGGCCTTGGGGTGGGACTCTTTCCGCCCGAGGCTTCTTCTGCAGCTACCCGATGAGATGCTGCAGCGACTGGCAGACGTGCTCGACGAGTTCGAGCGGAGACCCGACGTCGGGCCGCTGTCGCTGGTGATGATCATATTCCTGGAGAAGGCTACGGGCGGCGTCCGGCCCATTGGGCTCATGCCTCTGATGGCGCGCGTCTGGAGCCGGATTCGGCACCGCTGGTGCGCCGACTGGGAGAGGCGCCTGGATTGCCGCTTCTTCTGGGGGGTGGACTCGCGCACCGCGTGCGACAAGAGCGCGTACGTGCACGACGTGCTGGCTGCGTTCGCCCCCCAGCGTGGCCTCGCCTCAGCCACGGTCTTCCTGGACATGGCCAGATACTACGAGCACATCTCGCACTCGGAGCTGTCGCATGCCGCCCAGCACGCCCAATTCGACGTCGGGCTCTTGCGGCGCCTGCGCCGCTGCTGCCGCGCGCCGGCGCGTGGTGCCCCAGGGAGCTGTCAGCCGCGAGTTGGTCGTGAACGGGGGGTTTATAGCTGGTTGCTCATGCGCCACGTCGCTGGCCCGCCTCATGTTCCTGGCGGCGCAGAAGCGCGCGGCGGCCTGCGCCCCCATCATCTCCATCAAGAACGTGATCGACGACATCTCCCTCCACGGGGTCGGCGGGGAGACTGCGGTCACGCAGCAGCTGGCGAGGGGCTGCGCTTCGGTCAAGCAGGACGTAGCGGCCCTAGGCCTGCCGATCGCAGACCGCAAGACGGGCTCCCTTGCTAACTCCAGGGCTCTCGCGGAGGCGCTCTGCGAGCGCCGGGACATCAGCATGGAGAAAAGATCGCACTCCCATCGCGACCTGGGGGGCGATGCGACGGCCAGGCGCCTGCGGCGCGTGGGCACGCAGAGCCAGCGGTTTGCAGAAGCTCAGGCTCGCGGCGCACGCTTTGAGCAGCTTCGCCGGGCAGGTGCGCCGATCGCGTCTGTCCACCGCGCTGGTCCAAGCGCTATATGGCGTTGTGGGGCGCCGCGATCCAGGGCGTGCAGGGCCTCCCTCGGGCTAGCCATGGCCAGCTGGCGCGCCAGCTGGAGGCGCGACCCGTTCGCGTCAGTCACGGCGCTGGCCATCCAAACGTACGCCGAAATTGTTTGGAACGGCGTCTTCCAGCGGCCCCTGCTGCAGGTGCTACTGGATGGCGCTCGGCAGCTGGCCACGCAGCGCTTCCCCTAGGCGCGCTGCAGCAACCCGATCACGGCGCCGGTGCTCACCCTGCAGCGCGTCGGCTAGAGCTTGGACGACCCGTTCACGCTGAGGGACGAGAAGGGCGACCGCTGGGACCTCCAGAAGTTTTCGCCGGCCTTCTTCCGTCTCAAGGCGCAGGAAGCGGCCTGGCAAGCCTCCGACGTGCACGCCATGGGCCGCTTGATCAGGCCTGGCCGCCGCAGCTGGGTTGCGCCCGTCTTCTGACGCCCCCTCAACGAGCTGCTGCACGCCCCCGCTGAGCGAGGCTGGAAACTCCACCACAAGCGGGCTCAACGAGGCCTGCTTTGCGGCACGCATTGGTGCCGGGCCCGCCTCTGCGGGAGGGGGGGGGGGGGGGCTGGGGCTTCTTACCTTTGCCAGTGCTGCCGCGGCTCCCCCGGCACCTTGCATCCTAGTCCCACCAGCCCTTTGGGCGTGAGTGGTTTAGAGAGCCCGCTCTGTCCTCAACCCCCCTTCTTCCCCTTCGGGGAGGGGTTCACCCCTCCCCCTACCCCCTCCCCCTGGACCTGGACAGGGAGTCCGGGGTGGTGTAAGGGGGTCCATTTCGACTCCTCGGAGGGCCAAAAAACGACGACCCTCACGAGGATTCTGGCCCCGACGGGGGGGGGGAGTTTGGCCCCTCAGCTCGTCTTTGAAGCAAAACACATTGATTTTACTACAGTGTTGGCCCCATTTTGGCCTTCTGAGGGGGCCGCGCTCATCTTCCCTCATAGCAAAATCATTGATTTTACAGAAAGGTTTTGGGCTCATTTTGTCCTTCTCAGGGGGCAGCTCTCATTTGCGCTTCTGAAGAGGTCGCAAGAGGCCCCAAGATGGCCCCAAGAGGCCCCCAGGAGGCTCCCAAGAGGCCTCCAAGAGGCCCCCCAGAGGCCCCCAAGCGGCCCCAGGAGGTTCCCAAGAGGCCTCCAAGAGGCCCCCAAGAGGCCCCACGAGGCCCCAAGAGGCCCCCAAGAGGCCCCCAAGAGGCCCCCAAGAGGCCCCACGAGGCCCCACGAGGCCCCAAGAGGCCCCCAAGAGGCCCCAAGAGGCCCCCACGAGGCCCCAAGAGGCCCCCAAGAGGCCCCCAAGAGGCTCCACGAGGAGCCCGAACGACTCACACCAGGACGAGGGGCCCGAACGACTCACACCACGAAGAGCCCGAACGACTCACACCACAAGGAGGGGCCCGAACGACTCACACCAGGACGAGGCGCCCGAAGGACTCACACCACGAGGAGCCCGAAGGACTCACACCACGACGCGGGCCCCGAACGACTCACACCACGAGGAGCCCGAACGAGTCACACCAGGAGGAGGGGCCCGAACGACTCACACCAGGATGAGGGGCCCGAACAACTCACACCACGAGAAGCCCGAACGACTCACACCAGGACGAAGAACCCGAACGACTCACACCACGAAGAGCCCGAACGACTCACACCAGGAAGAAGGGCCCGAACGACTCACACCAGGACGAGAAACCCCAAACGACTCAAATCACGAGGAGCGCTTTCTCTCCCTCCTCCTCCGCCTCGTCCTTCTCCCGCTCCCCTCACAAGGAGGATGTACAAGGAGGCGGGAGGAAGGAGGAACAGGGGAGATATGCGGGGCCAAGCGGACACACGCCTGAAAAACACGACTGTCGGCATGCTTCGCGAGAGTTGCTGCTGTGAGATGGGCTGGTGGGGATACGCGAAGCGTGAAGAATTTTTCCCTGTGCCCAGCGCACCACGCCTGGAGGGCGGACAATCTTGACCCAGCGGTGCGCGATGCCGCCGCTCGAGTGCTGGAGGGCGGGGAGGAGGCCGGGGAACGTTTTGCACGAGTGTTCCTGCCTGATCCTGCCCATTGTTTGCGGCGGCCGCCGCTGCCGCCTGGCGCCGAGCTCCGGGCGGACCGCTGGCCGCTGACCGGACTCATGCTCGACGGCGGGCACTTGATTCGACGCCAAATTCCCCAGCGCCGCCGGCCGCTACACGCTGCATTCGGACTGTAGTGCCACTGTCGCCTGCGGGCAAAACCTGGCGAGCGCCAGCGGGCCAGGCCAGCTCCGCGCCCACCTGTGGCGCCAGGCGGCTGCTGGCGATGCGCTCGAGGACGTGCCCTTGTCTAAGGCCCTCGCGCACGCGACGAGGAACGACGTCGTGGAGGGGCGAATCGCGGCTTGGCAGCGCGACGGGAATCACGCGGCCAGGGCCCTAGCAAAGGCTGGGGCGGCCGAAGGCCGGCTGGCCGAAGATGACCGCGCTTTCCTTTTTGGTTGCCTCCATCTTGCGCGGCCCCTCACCCGATACACGGGGCGCATGGAGGCCGTGCTGACTGAAGCCGCACTCGCGACCATCAAGGCCTCGAGGCCCTTCGCACTGTTGAGCTCGAGGTGGAGGGGCGGTCGGGGTCTGAGGGCGAGGTTGGGGGAACTCGAGGAGAATCGCGCGCTGATGCTGCAGGCGCTGGCTCGGCCCCGGCGGCGAACGCAGGCGCGGCCGCTCGTCTGGGCTCGGATCCCGAGGCGCGCGCTGACGCTCCGCCTCAGGTTAGTCCCTGGCGCGTGCGTGGGCACAGCCTCCTTGCTGCCCTGATTAGCGAGTGGCGATGCCCAGAATGGGGACCCTGGGGCGCGTCCTCATGAATGCTAATTTGCACGACTTGTTGGAGTCACGCCACGTGCCCTGGTCGGGGCCATGGGCTCTTAGCGCCCTGTCCGCCCAGGGACGGTGAGCCACCCCCGAGAGCAAAGAATGCACGCAGCCGCGTCGGCCGTGGGATGCACCCCCACTGGGCGTGGGATGCGGCCATCGACGAGGCATGCAGCCCGTCGGGGCGGCACGGGCGTCCTTGGCCAGCCATTTCGGATTGGAAGGCGCCGCAGGGGGCCCTGTGGCCCGCACCGCCGAGTCTCCCCTAGGCCCTCCTGTTCGGTGGGGCGCGCCATGCCCAAGAGTGGCACTGAGCGATGCCTTACTGGCATTCGGATTTCGCACGCGCGGCCAGGCTGAGGAGCTTGGCCGCGAGGCGCAACGGCTGGCCGCGGAGCGGGCCAGCCGGCTCGCAGCCACGAGTGCCATCGAGGAGGGATAGTTGCTGTGGACCTCCCTCTTCTCCTCCTCCCTCTTCGCCCTCCTCCTCCTCCTCCTCCTCCCTCCTCCTCCTCTCTCCTCGCCCCCCCCCAAAAAAAAACGCCCCAGGGCTTCTCAGCAGGACCCCCCCTTCCGCCTCGCACCGCCCCCTCGTGCGCGCCGCCGACCTCGTCCGGGCGCAGGGGGGGCCCCGGCGGCACCTCCTCGCGCGCCCACGGCGGCACCTCGGCGTCCTCTCGGGGGGCGGCGAGGCCCACAGCTGGGTCGGGCATGCCCTCCCAGAGGCGGATGTTGGGCGAAAGTGTTGTTCTCTGTATGAAAAAGAGCAAAAAATCGAAAATGGCCAAAACTAAATCACCGAATCGTCCACAGGCTATTTCTTTAAGGTCTCTTGGAATATATTTTAGAAGGACATGCCCGACTGAAGCCTACAGACCCCGAGAGCCAGGCACTGAAAATCCCAGGTAGCTGGCGTCTCGAACATATCGAGACGCGGGCTCATCATCGCTCTTGGGCCTCCCGGGGCCCTTACCGGGCCTCGGGAGCGCCCAGAAACGTTTCGGGACGAAACACCGGTCCCAAGCGGTAAGGGGCTTACTGGCCCGGGTCGATCCAAACCTGGGTCAGTGCAAGATCCTGCAGGATCCTGCAAGATCCTGCACCCAGACCCGGGTCATTAGGAGACCGATGTCTGACCACACCCACTTCCCGAGGTGCCTTGCGAAAAGCGCTTTCCAGAGGCGGAGGTGGGCAGTTTCCCCGCCCCAGGGGAAGGAAAGACTGCCCACTTCCACCCCCGAGGGCCTATCACAGAATCCAGGATCCAGAGGTGGATGTGGTCAGAAATCGGTCTTCGGGTCCTGGCGGGCCTGGCCCTGCAGGATCCCGCAAGACTCGGCGCTCTGGCCGACCCCCGTTTGCCCTGACCCCCGACCCTCGAGCCCCGAAATGGTCCTGGGTACCTCGATGGTGGGCCCCGCTGCCGCGGCGGTCGGGGGGGAGAGCGGCAGAGGAGGAGGATGAGGAAAGGTAGGAGGAGGAGGAGGAGGAGGAGGAGGAGGCTGACCAGCACGCTCCACACCCTACACTCAGCCCTACAAACGACCGCCATCTACAACCCCCGAGATCAGCACCCTCCTGTACTGCAGAGGCGGGGGCGGCATGACTGACGACATCGGATACTACGGCTAGTGAGTACCAGGACGACCAGCACGACTGGACGGGATTACGCAGGAGTACCAACCCGTCCAGCACGGCTAGGACGAGGTATACAAGCTCGAGCACCACAGCGTCAAGCAGCACTGCAGGCTCGAGCACATCATGGACTACTCGATGAGAAGGGGCGGCGTGCCCCTCGGCGAGGGATACACAGCGCCAGGCGCCGAAGGGTGTATCCCCGTCGCCCTCGCGTGGCATGCGAGGGGCCGAGGCCAGCCGGCCTTGATCGGCATGATGACGAGAGCAGCCGCTGCAGACTTGCTGGAGCCCACGAGCGGCTCGGCGAGCCTCCACAGCGCGCTGCGCCGAAGGGTGGAGGCCGCCGCAGCTGGGGGCAGCCAGCCACCCGAAGACCCCACGGCGGCTGGGCTCAGCGCGAGGCGCCGAAGGGAGCCCAGCCGCCACCACGCGGCCGCCAGCCCACAAAGAGGCCGACGGCCTGGCCGTGCGCCGCGCTGCCTGACGCCCGCGGGCGCGGGCGCGCGCGGCGCCCGCCCGTGGGCCCTGACGGGCCCCCCTTTTTTTCTTTTTGCTGAAACCCGGCCCCCCTTCTCCCTCCGCTGAGGTTTAACTTGGTCCCTGGTTCCCTCTGCTTTCCTCGGGGTCGGGTTCCCGGGGCCGCTGTCCGAGTGCCCGCACGGCCCTGAAGGGCCGCTGCGGCGCGCTCCGCGCCCGCGGGGCGCGCGTCAAGACGCTGCATAGCGAGAAATGTAGAAATGTAGGAGGAGGAGGAGGAGGAGGAGGAGGAGGAGGAGGAGGAGGAGGAGGAAGAGGACCTTTTTTTGACCTTTTGCGCAGCACAGCGTGCAGAGAAAGGAAAAAGGAGGAAAAGAGGGTGAGGGCCTCAGCGGTCGGGCAAAGGAGCCGAACGCTCCGACCTGCTGGCAGCCTCTGCTGTAACCACCGCTCTCTCTCGCTCAAAAGCCACCGCCTGGACCGTCTTGGGAGGCCCCGCGTAACTCGGGAACTTGCCTTGTGCAATCCGGGCGAGATTCTCACGCCCCTTCTTGCTTGGGGGCAAGCATTCGCCTGCAAGTTGGCGGAGGAGGAGGAGGAGGAGGAGGAGGAGGAGGAGGAGGAGGAGGAGGAGGAGGAGGAGGACCCCCGTTTGCCCTGACCCCCGACCCCCTCCCGAGCCCCGAAAAGCGGTCGAGAGGTCGGAGGCCCGGCTCCCGAACACATCTCGAGGCGTCGGTGCGGCCTCCCGCCACGCCAGGGGCAATCCTCGCCCGGTAAGACGACGCGAAGATCCTCCTCCCTCTCCTCCTCCTCCTCCTCCTCCCTCTCCTCCTCCTCCCTCTCCTCCCCTCCTCTCCTCCTCCCCCTCCTCCTCCTCCTCCTCCTCCTCCTCCTCCTCCTCCTCCTCGGCTGCGATAACTCGAAATCTCTGAGAATCGGCGGGTTTGGAGGATGTGTTGGGCGCCG